TCTACAAATAGACCCCTTACTTTTCACTTGAAATGGAGAAACCTAAACTTTGAGGAGAAGACACAAAAGCAATAAGAGATCTTGAGGATTCCCAAGCCCCACTTGTCCACCACCATCAGACTACAGTCGCTTGGTTGTCGTTGCAACCACCACCATTGTGGAACCACTTTCAAAGCCTATCTTCTTATATGACTGACATTATTCTTAGCCCAAATACACAATGAAAATTGTATTTGGCATTTTAAGAGTGAACCATTTTTTCACCTCTATCATTCAGATCCTCCTCTATTCAACTATTATTTCTTTTACAAAATTATCTATAAAAATCGTTAAGTTTAATTTTTTCCTTAAAAAAATTGTAATACCAATAATAACTTTTTAAAAAAAAAACTTTTTTTTTAATTTTTCTCCATGTGAAATATTATAATGACATAAAACAATCTAATTAAATATTTATTCTTTTTCTTAATTGCACTTATTGGCAATGGAGTTAAGGAACCAATGTATTGGAAACCGGATCTTGCCTCCTAAGGCTTTGCCAATCAATTTGATTCCAAATATTTTGCAGTGAAAAAGTGGAACATTCAATAATCTAACACAAAAGTATTAGGGTCAAATGGACTCATCTTAAAAGAAGATAAAAACCGTCATTAACCCTAAACCCTAAAACCAAAAAATATAAAAATATTTACAAATCCAAGATTTAGATAGTGTAAATATATATATATATATATATATATATATAAAGATTTTAGATGTCAGAAGTGTAAATACATAGGAAATGTATGGGGTGCTATGCAAATTGCACCAAAGATAAGTAAATTGTTCCTTTAATAATTTTTTTTTAGCAATTGATTTGTTTAACATGGAAGGCTTAAACTTAAAAATTTCTAATTAATAGATAACTAAAATGCGCTCCTTTTTTATTAATTATCTATGATTAGTTCTTAATTACATTCATGAGTTGTAATTTGCAAATCATTTAAACAAAATTGTGTAAATATGTCTACTATTTTTTTTAGTTAATACAAATGTCATCTAAAGAAGAATTAAAACATAATTAACGACGAGAAAATCATGTTAATGACAATACTTTCCACTGATTCTACTTGAAATGTTTCATAATGAGAAATATATTTCAAAAATATGAAAGTTGTTCAACACATCCTTATTTTTGTTGCAGTAAGTAAAAAAAAATTTCATTTTTGTTGGGTGCCGGAAAATTTAGAATGGTTGAGTGATTATGTAACGTTTTAGTGTTGCACGAAGATCCATCACACATATACATAACAAAAAGGAAGCAAAATGAGGCACCTGAGTATTTTACTAAAAAAAAAGCCAGGACAGAGAAAACACTACATGCATAGAGAAAATGAATCAATCCACAAAAAATGGGTGAGTAAAAAGGTACACTCTTTTCTTAGAACTGGGAGAGTGGGATTACTAGTTTACATCATATTCAACTTTTGTCTGTATACAATATATAAAACACCACAGAAGTTAGGAACAAATGTAATCAAACTATGAAAAGGATCGCCAATGTCTAGTTGTCTTTGTTAAAAACGATGACAGTGGTTGGCAGCTAAAGAAACTAAATGTTATCGTTGTGTCTTTCGTACATACGTTACACGTTACAATCGTATTTGAGATACTACATTTGCAAGCAGGGGTAGCCGCTGATCGACGATCGGTGGTCCACGGTGAGAAGAAGAGACGATAGGCGGTGGTCAACAGTGACCCACGAATTGTGGTCGGTGGCTACGGAGCCCGGATGTTATTAATGGGTCTTCAGTCCAAACAGGCTATTAAATTTCACTTCTTCCACTCCCCTTTAGAGTCTTTGGAGTTGGAACATTTTAGTCATTTTGTGAACAACTTCCCCAATGACGTGATCAAAAAACCCATATTGATCCTCATTGAGGTAATTTGAATGATGATCTTAAAACTGAGTGATTTTAGGCTCGTTGGATTTCTCTCATTAAGACATTCGATTTGACCATTCAAATGAGGGTACAAAACTTTCAAATATGATCACTGAAATTTGGAGTTAATTTAATCATTCAATGATGAAGGTACTCTGTGACAATTAATAATTAATAATGTCAAGTGACATTTGGCAGATATGGACAATAAATTAATAATTTTATGAATAGTGAATTGTGATAATTAAAAAAATTGTTGTTTTACATGATCAAATTCCTATTCATGAAAATGATTTTACGAAGTAGACCGATGATATATCAAATAAAACTATTATACTTCACATTTTAATTGGGTATGTAAAAAGTATATTTCAAAAGAGATTCAAAGGTTTACTTGGTCTCTTATGTAATTTAAGGATTTTGATAATCCTTATGTTGAAAATTAATAGAGGACAACTCCTTATAACTTTATATTTAGCTAATTTATTTAGGAGTGCAAAGTTCGTGCTCAGCTCGTTCAAATTATTCGTGTTGACAATGGCTTGAATAATGTGTATGCATTTGTCTCAATTCAAATTTGTTTTGTTCACTTTAATGTATGTTCTGCTCAAAATTAGCTCGAATGACTTAAAAAAAAAACAGTCTTAAAAAGATCATACAAAATTAATATAAAAATGTTAAGGCAATATTAATCAATTCAAGCTAAAAAAAATTGAACACGATCAAATATAAATTCAACAACTCAAAATAAGCTTAGAATCATTTGCATGTTTGTCTTATCGACGTGCGGATGACGACATGAATTGTGCCATGCCGTGGGTCTGGCGTCATGGTAAGATTCATGCCATTGCTCGCACGTCCGGTTTACCAAACATAATATTTTCTCGTATTTATAAGTTTTATTGAGTAAAAAATTTCACTTTGATATTATCCATTGCTTCAATTTGGAGTCATTTTTTCATAACTTATGATGCCCTTTTTCTTTCTATCATGCATAAATTAAATTCAAGCCCTCAATTAAAAATAGTATTGCAAGCACCTCATAATGTTGTTTTTTTATTGAAAAATATTAAGCATATATTTCGCATCAAAGGTTTATATTCTTCACGACTCTTCTTAAAATATTTAAGTGTTATTGTGATGTGTACAATATATATTACTATTCAAAAGTAGACACGCACCAAGATTGAATCCAATTGTCATTCACCTAAAGCCTTGCTGCATGCAATCATGCAAATTGTATTCACTTGATCACATTTATTGAAGTATAGCATTAAGCCCCGTCGCCTCTTTGAATGATTTGATGCATGTCTCTCGCTAAACTCGTCGGTTTTAATAAGCCACACCAACAACTTCCCTGAACAATCCTTCAAGTTTGCTTGCACATTCCAACCCAACATCGTTCATGTACTTTTATGAGTCGCCTGACAACCATGATGATACCTTATCAATGATAAGTCTCAACAGGCCACGTACAATATGGCTTACGATTTATCATTTTCTATTATGTTCTCTTTTTTGTTGTCCTAAGGGGAGGGGAGGGGGTGGGAGATATGAGAGATCTATCAAAAAAAGTGACACATAATATGAAATTATATACTCCTTTCCACCTCCTTCACTTACCTTATAAAGTATTTCTCAAATTATATGATTGTATGGACTCATGAACTATTCATTCATGACCCTACGTCCTCTAATATAATATAATTTTATCATAATAACTTAATGTTTAATTTTCTCTCTTTTCCACTCAAATCCCACCGACGTACTCTGTATATGGAATCACCACCTAATTGAAATGAAACGATGCTTGTTAGACATTATTCTCTCCATTACTTTCTTCTACTCTTCCCCTTTATTTCTTTCTTTAATCACTTATTCACACTTTATTTTCTATATCATTTTTTTTTGTGACATTTATATAGATACCACACATTTTATGTATTTGCATATCTAACGTCTAAATTTTCACATTTGAGAACATATAACTTAAGCCGGTTAATTAAAATATCCTATTAAATCTTGACTAACATACATACTTGTATACACTACCGACACAAATCTCAAAGAAAACAAACGGCAAAAAATAAAAGCTTCCCCTAAGAGTAAACAACAGGTGAAGCTGCGTCTGTAAACCCAGGACAAGTCAAAGCTGAGATGGTCCCTCGCCTGATAGCGACAATATTCTCCAAGTGCGAGGTGTAACTCATCCTAACAGCAAGTCTCATCAAATGCCTCACACAGGCAACGACAAGATCCGCCTAAGACCTTGCAAATAGAGGTATCCGACTGAGGCGACGAGCCGATCAAGTAGACAAGACGCAGGCCTCGTAAAACTTGAGCCAAAGTGAAAAACAAGTCATGATTCACCTGACAAAAACAAATCGATTCATCCATCACCAGCCAACCGACCGAAGAGCAGATAGAAAACCCTAATTGTGATGGGACAACTAACTTGCTTTTGTTGTGACGGATGAGATCATTGTTCAACTGAACGCCTTGGTCGACCAAACACAAGACACGGTCGCCACCCAGTCGATCGCCTCATTCGGCCTCATTCTAGTTAATTGATCGACAAATTACCGTCATATCAAAATTCAAATTGTAATATAAATATATAATAAAATTCATACAATTAATCAGAGCATTAATTACATTAAAAATGGTTTTCACAACTCCATTTCTGTAATTGTACAAAGTACGTTCTTATAAATAAAATACAAAATGACGACAAGAGGGAAACAACTCGTTTAGACTCACTGATGCTCTTCACAGTAACTCTTGGTTCATTTTATTCTCTTATTCTCTCGACTTAAACTCTTAAAACATGTTCAAAACACAATTTGGGATCCTACAATAGCAAATGAAAAATACTATTTTAATTGACAAATATTTGATAATTATATCAAAATTTTGTATTTAATTTTCTATTATTCAAAATCTACATATAAACACTAATCTTAATAGATACTTGTTACATCCAAGGATATTGAACGCTACAAATACAATTATTTATCTATACAGGAATGCAGGTGAAAATATAAAAAAATGGTGGACCTGACTTAAAAGGTGGTGAAAATAACACTTCTCCTCTTTCAAAAAAGAGAACACAGAGAGACCTCAGATAGATGAACAGAGAGAAGTCAGGAGACAGTCCATTTCCTCTCGCTCTCCATCATCTTCACGAATTTCAAATATACATTAGCCAATCGCCTGAATCCTCTATTCAGAGATTCAACACCTCCTGCCCGGCTCACTCTGTCCTCGTTTTCTACAGATAAGGATAACAGTTGTACATAGATATTCTCACTCCTCGGTCTCTGTATATCAGCCCCAAAACCCTTTTTTTTTAAAGCTCCGCTGTATTAAAGTCCCATGCCTTGGGAGCTCCTCCGCAGGATTATCCATTCAATCTTTCAAGTTCCGATTTTGTTCAGCTTCTCTTGTCATGGCGGACGAATTTGATGAAGAGGAGGTCTGGGCTATGGCGAGAGAAACTAAAGACGATAAATTGAAGACCAGGAAGCTCAAAGATGCCTCCTTTTTCCTGTCGATGAAAGCCTCCCCTGCTTCAAGGTACTGCAAAATTATTAACTTTTATTTTTTACTATACTCAAATTTGTTAATTAATCAATTAAGTTACAGTAAGATACCAAGATCAACTAAAACAGTCGGGGAAGAGAGGAGCAGTGCAGCCCCTATTCAGCAATCCGCACCTGTTACAATTCCCAACTGGTCTAAAATATTCAGTAACAGCGAAAGGGAAGATGAAGAAGGTGAAGATGAAGACAGGGTTCCTCCGCACGAGTGGATTGCGAAGAAGATGGAGAGGAATCAGATCCCTTCTTTTTCTGTTTGTGACGGAGAAGGAAGAACACTTAAAGGAAGAGATCAACGTAGAGTGAGGAATGCAGTTCTCACCAGAACTGGATTCTTAGAGTAAAGCTTTTATCCGTACTATTAATGGCGACTTTTGTTTTAATTTTTTATTTTTCTTATTAATGTTAGTTATTGTCTAGTTTTGTGTGATCTCTCCGGGCGGGGTGAGATGATTTTGTCCGGGTAAGTTGGTTTAATATAATGGATTAGCGAGTTAATTACTTGATTATTATCTTAATCTGCCTTGCTTTTTCTCATCATCTTCCACTCTGGTATTTTTTTTTTAATTTTATTTTTTTGGGAACGATTTAGTTTGATTTTTTCTATGATGAAATATTCAAAAAGTTATGGAAAGTGATATATATACGTTTTACTCTATTTTGAGTTTGAAAATGAAATAATTATTTTTAATGGATAGATAAAGTATATATTTATAATTACTTTAATTCAACTAAAAAATATTAAAATTTATTTTTCAACAACAAACAAATAAATTGCTATATTTTAATATATTTTTTTAAATCTACAATTTCATTTATAAAAATCAGCTTCTCATCCTCAATTATGAATAGGGGGAAGCCTAATTGGATGACCTCTATAATTAGTTGATTTGAAAGGAACACAATGTGAAGATATAGAAATTGTGGTGGTTGGATGTGTAAATCATAATTGGTAGATTTTGGGTCACATTAATTGCATTTTACGCCTCATTTAAGTGCAATTACACGAGGCAATTTGGGCCCACATTTAGAAATATTAATGCAATGCAATGATATATATATATATATTGTTGAATGTTCTCAATTTGTCAAATTTGTTGAATTTATATTACTCGGAGGGAGGTGTGCAATCAAATTATTCAAATTGTATGATTTCTCTTTGAAAAGGTTTTTGTTTGATTAACATCAATGCAAGTGCATAGAAATTCTTGGGTGGGTCCATATTATGGTGGCTAAGATGATAAGATAAGATTAATGATGTTGATATTGACTTGTAATAGAGCTAATTATATTGTGTTTCGGTTTTAGTGGTGGGATTATTTCCTTAATTTTTCATTTAGGTCTCATATGACATTCTTTAATAAACAAAATTTTAGGATCCGTGAATCACACGTCGAGGGAATAGAGGTAGAGAGAAGTGTGCATAATAATGAATAATAATACATATTGTCTATTATTAAAATGATCTTTCTATTTAAATGAGAGATGGTACAATATATAAAGTTAGATTTCTATCCCTTCTTTGTTACATGATATTCAAGGTATTTTATATTTATGAGTTTATTGCTCAGCTAGCTCAATCGGCTGAGCACTTTAGGGTTTGGCTTTATAATGTCTGCTAGGTCGACTGGGTTTGTCTTTGGGTCGACAATAATGACTTGATCGGCTATACATTGTTGATCAGTTGAGATGGTATGACTACGACTCTCAATTCATGTTTGGAACTCCCGTCGTCTGATCTAAGCTAGGGTATTGGGCAGAGGTGAATTACCGTAACTTGATAGATAGATCACTACTTAACAAGGGGGGCTCAAGGAATAATTAAGACCTTGAACATTTGGGGTGTTTGTGGGATAGTTAATGGTATTGAGGAATTGAATCTCCCTCGAGTAGGATCTACAGAAAAGTGGGTTGTTTACAATTAGCTTTCTTATAGTGGTAGGTTCATATGCCTATCCGTCTCATTTTAGCTCGATGGATTTGGGCTCGAATTATTCAGTCGTCTTTGACATCGCTGCTTTTGGCTCGAATGATTGTATCTGATCAGATAAGTGGGGCTCTTGGCTTTCTACCGTGAGTCCCTCCTTTAACCATGTTGCTCTAAGATGTTACTAAATGTCATTTCACTCATTCCGAGTAATTTTTACATTTAGTGATGTCTAGGGTGTCCTAACTTATAGGTTTATCTCTAGGTTGTACATTTAGGACTATTCTTTAGAACCCTTAAAATAACAAACATTAAGATATAAAATCAAAGCATTAAAACATCAATCATTCAAAAGCAAAACCATTTAATGATCAACTCTATTTCATATATTATTTACACAATTATACATGTCGATTAACCTAGTAATTCGTAGTCACCTTGCCATTGATCTTGAGATTATATTTGATAAGTTACATCATATTTGTAATCATATTTAGGAAAACATATGACTACTTTGATTCATCGATATTTGTGCATCGATTAATTAGGAAAACCCTAAACCCTAAACCTTTAGTTTGAAAAAAAAAACTTGAAATATCCCTTTCATATGAGCCCCACTTATTCTCCTCTTTCCTACCCCCTATCACAAAATTATGGCAAGTCCATATCTATCATATAAACACGTTTGGCCACCACCATCTTCTCCTTTGCTTCTCGAGAGGTATAAACTAGTAGCTAGGGGTGTAAGTGAATACTGCCATGGCTTTGGCTCGACAAGTAGCTCGTGAGCTAAGCTCGATGAGCTAATAAGCCGAGCTCAAGTCATCCCTGACTTGACTCGTTAACTCAAAAATCATCTATAAATTATTGAAAATGTTTTTCGAATGATATTTATTATTTTATAATAAGTGATTTATTATTGTTTAGTGAATTATTATTATTTAGTGAACTATTATTATTTACCTCTTAACTATTCATTCTAATATGATACAAGCATAAAATGATAATTTGGCTCTCTTCTATAATAAAAATGCTGTTTGAACCCATACACTTGAGCTCAAGCTAGAGCTTGAACTCGATTAATGAATCAAGCTCAAGCTTAGGGTAGAGGTGACTCGAGCTCAAGTGACTCTTTTACACCCCTGCTAGCAGTTCTCTCCCCTTTTCTCACACACAAAATTGAAGCCCTCTCTCTCCCTACTTCTTTTTCGCAAGCATTGACTCCTCACTTCGCTAGCCACACCTTGTCGGAAACCAGCTTTATCCAACATTTGTCGGAAACCACCATCTTCTCCTTCCTTCCGGGCATCTTCAGAGTGATCATGCATCTCTTGAGTGCGAAGCTTTTGCTGCATCCCAATCGCCTCCTCAGCCATGCTCCTAACATCCACTTTGCCGGAAACCAGCTTTATCATTTCCAACGAATTCCCCAAGAGACACATGAAACACCGCTTTAAAAATCATCCAAATTTGATGTATATTCTAGAAGATATGTTGAAAACCGTCTCTGGCGCCTAAGCGCCGATTCTGAAGCACTTAAGCGCCCTCCTCTCTATCTGGTGGAGCCTAAGTTGAGCATTTAAGCGTCGGGCATAGGCACTTAAGTGCCTAGTTTCAGTCCCCATGGCTCCGGTATGCCCCGATTTGACTCGATTTGCTCTAGTTTGCTCCGTTTTGGCCCATTTTTGTTCATTTTGCTTCAATCACTCCAAATTCTTCAATTTGATGTACCTACAATCAAAAACACAAGAAAATATTTCTTTAAAGTGCAATATCATTATAAAATAAAACATGAAAAATAGTACATTTTTAGGCTTATCATATAGCTGTTGAGGTTGGATAACAAAGCAAAAGATTAGAAGTTGTGCTTTTACCTCGGTTCTTCTTCTTGGGTTGGTGCATCCAAACTGTTCATGTGGAAAAAAAAAAACCATGGGGCCTAGCCTAGTTGTCATAATCTGCTATGTAATGATGATTACACAGACCTACTTTCACCTAAGTTGGGAAAGATAAAATTACATAATTGAATTAGGCAATAATAGTTGTACGGGGTGCAAAAGGCTGTAGTTGGTTATTATGAAGGCAGTGGCCCGCAATGAATGATAGTGGTTGCATTTCGAACTTGTTGTTGAGGTCGTAGTTGAAATTTGTTGTAATAGTTTCCATGTAGGTTGTAGAGGGTTAATTCAGAATTGTTGATTAGCCACACAAGTCGTAGTAGGGAGTTGTAAGGGTTGTGATACATGTAGTATGTAGTTGGTCACGTAGGCTATAGTGTGAGCTGTGATAATGTTCGTAGGTGACAGAGGCCTGAGTTGTGAATAACGTAAGCTGTAGTTGGTCATGTAAGTTGCAGTAGTAAGCTGCAAGAACATGAAAATTGAAATTTCGTGTTAGATATGTAATTTACAGGAATTGTGTGATTTTTAAGTGGAATGTGAAGTATAAGTTTTAAGTATGTAATGCATAGGAATTGGATGATTTTTATGTGGAATGTAAAGTTTAGGTGTTAGATATATAAGGCATAGGAATTTGGTGATTTTTAGGTGAAAAATAAAGTTTAGAAGTTAGACATGTAATGCATAGGAATCATGTAGCTTGTATGCATAACTTGGAGTTCAGGTGTTAGGTATGTAATGTAAAGGAATTGTCTGGTTTTTATTTGAAAAGTTAAGTTTAGGTGTTCGACATGTAGTTAATAGGAATTGTTTGCTTTATGTATCATTCGAAGTTTAGGCATTAGATTTGTAATGTTTATAATTGTACGATTTCTATGTGAAAAATTAAGTTTATGCGTTAGATATAGGGCTGTCAAAAAAGCTCGTTATTCGCGAACAGTTCGTGTTCGGTTCGTCAATGAGTTCGTGTTCGATTCGTTCGATAAGTAAACGAGACAAACGCGAACAAATTTTTTTCGTTCGGTTAGTTAAACGAACCAAACACGAACAGTGATGCGTTCGTTCGTGTTCGAATCGTTATTGTTTGAAATATAAAATAATATAAAATAATTATATATAAAAAATTTATTATATTTTAAAACATTAAATTTTATAAATTATAATATATAATAAAATAATAATATTAATATATTAATATACTATAGTAGTAATATACTAATATAGATATTGTATATTTATATAATATAAGTTATATAATTAATATATAATATTATTCGCGAACAGCTCGTGTTCGGTTCGTGTTCGGCTCGTTCGTTAAGAAACGAACACGAGCTTATTTCAAACAAACTAAATTTTAAACGAACCGAACACGAACACAAGCTTTGTTCGTTCGTGTTCGGTTCGTTTACACCCCTAGTTAGATATATGTTGGCCTATAAAAGAGAAGCAAAAAATTAAGTGAAGTGTTGTTGAGCTGAGGATTCTTAAGTGGATGAGTGACTTTAGGCATAGAGACAAACTATGAATGTAATATATCCGTGAAAGGTTTGGTGTTGCACTATTGATAGAAAAGAATAGAGAGAGTCGTCTTAGATGATTTGGTCACATTAAATGTCACCCATCTGATGATCATGTTAGGAGTGAACATTTTAGATATCTCAGATATATTGTTCAAAGTGATAGTGATATAAATGGGGTTATTAGTAGAATTAAAGTTGGATGGTTGATGTGGAGGAATACATTGAATCTATTGTGTGATAGAAAATCATTGCTTAGACAAAAAGGAAAGTTTTATAACATGGTGGTAAGTCTTGCAATGTATGACATACAGTGTTGGGTTGTAAAAGAGAAACATAAAATAAAATTTAAGTGTTGCTAAGATGATAAGGACCAGGTGGATGAGTGGCTTTAGAGATAAAATGTGAAACTAATATATCCATGAATGGATTGGAGTAGCTTCTGTGGCTGATAAGATTAGACTTTTCTTAGATAGTAATTTTGTGACCTTAAATGTTGACGATCATCTGATAACCCTATTTGGAGAGTAGATATTTTTTATTTGAATTATATTAACAAAGGTATAGATAGACCTTAAAAGACTAAAGAATGTTGTATAAAAATGATCGTAATCTATTATAATTAAATGAAAATATTTCTCTCGATAGGACACAACAGAGAAGAAAGATTAATGCAATTGACCCCACTTAAGCATTTAAACATTGAATTGAATTTTAGGTGGTAGATTTGTATTGTATAAGAATTGTGCGATTGGTATGTATACACTGAATAAGTTTAGTCGTTAGATGTGTAATATATAAAAATTGTGTGGTTTGTATGTACAATTTAAAGTTTAAGTGTTAGATATGTAATGTGTAATAATATTGTTTGGTTTGTATGTAAAGATTGAATATTGGGTGTTAGATATGTACTAATCTATAAAAATACAAATGTGATGCAAATATATATTTAAAATTTGAGATCATAGATGAATAATATATTGTATCTAGAAATAAAACGACTCACTGATGGGTTTTTGAATGATGTTGAGGAACATATGCATGTGGCATCGCAACTGCTCATTTACCTTTCAAAAGATAAATTTTGATGTCCTTGCGCTATGCATAAAAATCAAGCGTACCTAATACACCTGATGAAGTTAAGTTAGATCTGTACCATATGAGATTTAAACTCAATTATTGGTATTAGACTACAGATTGAGAGTATGAACCAGATGTTCAATACGAAAATGTTTGTGCATCATCAAGTTATGTCTCTTCAACGAAACACAATCCTGACATATATGAAGAAATGATTCATTATGCGCGCACGAATCCTTTTATTGATAGTATTCTTGATGATGATCAAGCACTAAATAGAGAGATACAAGAATTCTACAATTTAATGAATACTACACAACAACCTTTGTAGGAAAGTTGCACTACACATACAAAGTTATCGATGATGTTGAACATAAAATATGATTATAAAATGCCTAGAGAATCCTTGAATCAGTTAGCAGTATTATTAAAGAAGACAAACCAAACAAAAAATTTAGTTTCGGATGACATGTACAGAACTAAAAAGTTAGTGTATAAACTAGGGTCATCATCTTAGGAGATGGATTATTGTGTTAATTGTTGCATACTATATTACAAGACTGATGCAGTGGAGAAAAAATGCAAATTTTGCGGTGCAGATAGATTCAAGCTAAGGGGGCGAAAGGATAAAAATTAGAACAATATTTCATAGAATTGTCTCTTCTACTTGTTGCTCATGCCCCGAATTCAAAGACTACTCATTTCAATGCGTACAACTTCTCTCCTGACATGCATGACACAGTACCAAATCAATTGGTACTAATTTTATGAGTCATCCGTCAAATGAACACTTCACCTGTAGTTATCCTTGGCATGTAAGGGAGTTTCGGAAGTAACAATGACACTTAATAGATTCTTAAGCGAAGATATTTTATCTTATTTAAAGAATAAGTATATGCACTCCATACAAATCATAAAATAAAAGAAGAACAGCACAAATAAAGCAGGTTGCAGAGAACTAAAAAGGGAAAACTTATAACAATTAAAATAACTGAGTGCTCTAATGTGTAAACACATCCATTGTAAATAAAACAAAAAGGCTCAAGGTGTCAAATTTGAATCACCACCTTGCCCCACTAAAATAGTCAAATTTGAAAAACTATATTACTATATTTTAGATCAATCATATTATAAGTAAGTCATGAGAGTGATGATTAATATGGGGAGTTATTTGTGGCCTTTGTGTTATCAATGCTCTTCGCCACTGACAGGAATGGGCAATGAGACATCTAACGATGGGTCGCCAACACTGCTGGTCTCTTCATATTTTTGATTAATGTTCCCCATATCGCTTGCATGCTTCCATGCATCTACATTTCAAAGTGAAAATAACAAGAAATTATGTATGAGAGAGAGATCATGAAGAAAAAAAGAAACTTGACTAAAAATTTATGGATGAACTCACCATTATCAATATCAGAAGAGCTTCTGATAGAATGAACGGTTGGACTACAATGTTGATCATGTGATTGCTCTAACAATATTTGATTGATATTATTCCTTATGTCACACTCCGTTCTCTTTACAGGAGACTCATCACCCCAAAGCTATCTCCATCAATCATCACAATCAAAAGATTAGTTGAAAACAATCAAATTAACAACAATTAATATAATTAATTAAGAAAAAAATTCATATCGTAACTTTCTAACAGCCAGTCACTACAGATAGTCAAATCTAGTAACAAAACACAAATTTAAGACACAACAAGAGAAAACACTGACAACGTTTTTTATTTGACGCCATTTGCCACCCAACATTCGATAAAGCCCTCGAATTCTGGTTTTCTCCTCAGGGGAGAAAGGGTGTTGGGCGACTGTAGATTGGAGTGCAGACTTCCACCGCTTGCGGCAGCTAGTTCTGGAACGGCTGAGATCGGGAAAACGCTGCTCCACATAACGCCAGTCGTTGTCTCCATACTCTTCTACGTACTTGCGGATGAGTTCATCCTCCTCCGACCTCCACCGTTTATGCTTTCTTCGCTGCGCGCTTTCTGTATCATGATTTCTTTTTGCACGAGGACGCCTCATTATAACTCTGTGAGGATTTCTTACATTGAACACTGTGATATGAAGAAGATTGAAGCTTCATGATTGTTATATATTTGATAAGAGATTAATACGCTACGTGGTGTCCATGCTGAACTCCGCGAAACAGAGCCAAAGGATTCGGGCTTGGGGCCGTAAAGAGAGGGCAAAAAGAGATGTTGATCTTATTTATAGATGCTCATTAAGAGAATTCGATAGAAAACATGCATCTTATATCGTCAATAATAAATCGTTTTATATATAATAAAAAAATTAACATAAACTTTTATTAAAAAATAACTGTGAAGTTATGATATATATATATATATATATAGATTTTTTTGCTTAAATACATATGAACTCCATATACAATATTATAGATACAATTACGTGTAATAATATGTTTTACACGTATACATACAAACAGCGTACCTAATAATTTTTCCTCCCTTGAGGCAACAGTTACAGTGCAGTGCGCTCTTTTTCCTCCCCCATGCCCGAATCCTTTGCTCTGTTTTGCAGCATTCTGCATTCTATAGTTCCTTAGTCAATCATCAAGCATCTCCCTCTCTCTCTATATAGGTGTATATATTGGTCTCAGATGTAGGACGCCTCTCAGATCAATGAGTCCTCGTACACTATCAATTAGTGAGAGAGAAAGGATGTCAAGAAGGTATATGCGGTGGAGTTCCGAGGAGGATGAACTCCTCCGCAAGTACGTAGAAGAGCATGGAGAAAAGAATTGGCGCCAAGTGGAGTACTATTTTAAACGTCCCAAAGAAGCCTGCCGTGATCGGTGGAAGTATTGTCTCCGGTCTACAGTCGCCCAGCACCCTTTCACCGATGAGGAGAAAACCAGAATACGGCAGCTTTACCATAGGTTTGGTGCCAATTGGGATAATCTAAGAAGATATGTTGGTCTCTTGTCTTGTAATTCCATTTATCATGTCTGCAACTAATATTTTAAAAGTTTTGGTTTTGTTTCTTTTCAACTAATTCATTATTGTGATGATTGATTGATTGTAGACTCAGGGTGATCCTCGCTTTCCTACACCCAGAACGGTGTGTGACATAAAGAATTATATCGATCAAGTATTATTAGAGCGAGCGCAGGACCAAGATCTTAATCCAGATGATGTTAACGATAACAGTGAGCCCATTCCTATCCTTTTTTTATTTTGTTCATTTCTTCCTGATGTTCTAACTCTCTCACTCATGCATATATATTTATTTTATTCGCTTTGAAATGTAGATGGCAACCAAGAAGCTCCAGGGGAGGATTTTGATAGAGATAATGAAGAGGCTGGTAGTCCTGGCAACTAATCTTTGGATCTCTCATTATCATCCCTTCGTGTTTCTCTTTCAGTGGCAAGGAACATTGATATTAGTGCTCCGGCGGCCTCAAATGATCCCCCGAATTGATTAGCACTCTCATGGCTTTCTTCTTCTTCTTCTTCTTCTTCTTCTTATATATATATTGATAAAAATATAGTAGTATAATTTTTTGTGGTTTAAATTTTAACCTTTTAAAAAAAAATAATTGGATAAGGTGACCACTCAAATATGACACCTTGAATTTCTTCATTTTATTTCTAATTAATATACTTACACATCAAAGCATTGACTTGTTCTATTTGTTAGTTTTTCTATTTTGGTTCTTTGTAGCTTTTTTCTCATTTCTTTTCTCTTCACATAGAATGCATACACTATTCTTTGGAACAAGATAAAATAACTTGGCCTTGCGACAAGATAAAATAACTTGGACTAATTAGAATATACAAGTGTCACATACCATGTTTTGGTCTACGGTAAGCCATACAAAGTGATTGGGATTTGATTGTGAAGATCTGTTAGGCTGAAATATGTGGGGAAGACATGGAATAGATCCGTCTTGAAAGCCTTTGAATCCACTAACTTTGAAAAGCTTAAGAACTTGGGATCTCCATGTTAAATGATTTTCAGAAGTTGACTGGATGTTGATGGTCACCTTTATGTTATTCATGATAAACTTGAGTTGCTATGGAATCAAAATACATTCATATTTGAGTGGATTGACGATAGAATCTGGAGAGAACTAATCTGTTGAGTTTTATGAGATCTTGAGGATCAGACTTGTTGGTTCTTTTGGGTGACTGATCCAAGTAGATTTAGTGTATAAATTTTGCAAATATTTTTCAATATTACAAAATATACACGACATATATAATAATAAATATGTAGTATAATTTCAACAAAAATACCTTTTATGTAAATAATTTATCTTTTAAAACTCTTTTTAAACTGTCAAATCCTCTTTTAAACTGTCAAATCCTCTTTAAAATCAACGCAAATATACATATCACTCAAGTAATAAAGGGCTCTAATGGAGTCATAGATATCGATCTCACAGGGAAACTGAAAATATCTATATGTAATTTCTTAAAATTTTAATTTAAAACTACAAAAGAAAAAGAAAAAGAAAGTAAAGTGCAAAGTTCAAATATTAACTACTAAAGTGAATGCTACTTAAAATGCAGATGTAAGATTACAAAAGTTAAACTAAACTAAATACTAAACTTTCATAAGTAAAATTAAGAAAATTAAATAGAGCTTTTATTCTGACGGATAATTCAAATTTAAGAAAGCATCCTTCCCCTTTATAATGAGTATATGGATTGTGAAGAAATTGAAATAAGCTGTTTTGTGCCAAATATGAGCAAACATATTCTTTACCCTCTTCCGAGTGCTATAAAGAACATTGACTAATCCAGAGTTTGGTCCCTAATTCTGTAGTTAGAATGAGAGGATACCGACTGCCACTCCAGAGCTCCCACTACTCCCTCCCCTGAGGGCTAACAATCTCACATTAGTTTTCAATTAACTGGACCAAATTGAAGATTTTAATCTATCACCTTAAAATCTCCAATTCTGCATCAAACAAAGTATATTTACCTATTTATTTGCACCCAATCCCATGAATGACATACTCTCCCATGAAATCAAATGTGATTCTCCCTATGTTGTAGAAATCATTACCTCTTTTAGAACATATGTTTCTCAACACATTTTAACATTTCAATTGGTCAGATCAAAATACAAATGATGACCGGAGTTCAAATCATCACAAGTTATTAACATTTAAAATCGTAGAAAACCAAATAAATTCTTCACAAAACCATATCTTAAAGTAGGGAGAAGGATAAAAAAAACTACTAAGAATTTATGAGAAGGATACGATAAAACACAATTTTATATATAAAAACATGTTTACAAAACAAATGAAATAAAAATACAACTTATCTCACAATTCTTCCCAAGAAAATCCCTAGAAGTTCTCTCTAAGTCTTTCTTTCTTTAAAAACACACTCAATTCTCCCTTAGAAGTGTAATGAAGAAGAAATATCTCACCTTCTCTCACCCTAGAAGAAAATCTCATTTTTCTCTCTTTATCTCTAACTCACGCCAACTCTCTTTCCCTGTGAAAAGAATTCAAAATTTCATCCAAAATTCTCTCCAAAACTCAACTCTTTTGAATTCAAAAGATGTGTCATTTGATCAAAGATTCATATCCCTTCAGAAAAGAACCTTCCAAAGTGTCTAGATACATTGAATTACTCCAATAAGTGTGTAGAAAAATTATCCATTTAAAAATTCACGCAAAATTTGTCTTGAACTGCCTTAATTTGCAAAAAGTTGCCTTTAGCGCATCATGCGCCAGAATCTCAAAATTTTCTGTTTTGGCTCCAAATTTCGTTCTTTTTGTCATTTTTGCTCCAAATGCCTAAAAATGATATACCTGCAACAAAAAAATAAAAATACACTTTTTTAAAGTGCAATATCACCAAAAATAAACATAAAATATGTACTCAAAACAGTATATTATTTTGTTCTATCAAAATCCCCCAAACTTAAATGTTACTTGTCCTCAAATGACACTTTTATTACATAAAAGCATATGACTTAGGATAGAGATTTACTTATAACTTCTATACTATAGTTTAATAAATTGAATAACAAAATTTAAGAAAAACTTTTAATAATTTAGATTCAAACTCTAAGTCTAGGAATACTTAGTAATTAAATTTAAGATTTTTGAATCTCTATTCATTTCAAGAAGAATTGCAATTTGTCATATTAAGGACATTTAGAACATTTATAAGAAAAATAACTTCATGAAAAACTTTACTAGAAATGTTACTAATACTCCAATACAAGTTTAGACAATGTAACAAAGCTCATTCCTTAAGTTGATTCAAGTGAAGCCAATTTTTGATTAGGCATCCCCTCAAGCTTCTCCTCACTCATTTTTCTATTCTTTTCTTTTTCTTTTAGGATCTTTTCAATCTTTTCTTTTTTTCTTTTTCAAGTGAGGATTACTATATCTGGATAGCCTTTAATTGTTTTGAACTTCACTATCCTATTCTTAAAGTTAAAACTCCTTACCTTTTTTCACTTCTTAAATTCAAATCAGTTTATGATTTTGTTTATGATTTTTCATAAAGTCATGATTTTTCATAAAGTCTCATTCTTTTCTCTTACATGAAACTCTAAAATTCTTAATACTTCAAAAATACAATTTCCTTTACTTTAAATAGAAAAACATAGTCTTACCCTGTCATACCAAATATCATTAATTTTGGAGTTGACCTTCATTATTAAAAAACTTTTTACTTAAATTTACCAAAATATTTATAAACATAAGTATAATCATTTAAAGTTAAATCTTCATATCTCAGGCCATGTTAAATTAATTTTTGAAAATATAGTTACTTAAGGACAAATAAAACTTAGTTTACCTCTTTTCAAAGAATTTTTTTTTCTTCCCCCAAAATTAAATTTTTAAATGATTTTAAAAATATTTTAGTACAAAATTTTAGTTGGTGAAAGAAAAAAGTAAGTACATGAAATTAAAAATTGATATATAGAAGATTTTTTAATATGAAACAAGTTTTGGTATACTGCAGGTACTAACTGTAAAACTACATACAGACTTTAACATACAGACTTTAAAAACATACAGACTTTAAAACATTAAATAAAACATAATGTATTCTAAAGAACTTGCTGAGAATTAAAAATAGAAACTAAAAAAACTGAAAAAATATTAAAAATGCAGAAAAAATAAAAGTCTACATTTACTATTACAAATTACAAGTCCACAACACAACATAAAAGCTTTTACTACAATAACTTTGAAATGAAAATACATCACAATACAATCAAACATAACAAACATCCAAAAAAACTAAACTAAACTCATAAAATATCAATTCTCATCTCCTTCCACACCATCATCAAAATCTTTTTCTTCTGCTGCTTCTTCATCTTCTTCTTGAATAGGAGCATAGGGAGTAAAACTGGGGCAAGGAGGAAAGTTTGCATTAGGCTCACCCCTAAGATGTCTTACCATAGCATTTTCAAATTCAATATCATGTTGAACTCTCCTCTGCTGATATTTATCATTATAAGTATTTCTTGCTCCTATCTCTCCAATCTGATCCTGATTCTTAATTATATCTAATTGTTGAATCATCAGTTGGTCTATAATACCTTCCATCGATGCAGAATGAGAAGTAGAAGCCCCTACAATAGATGTAGAGCGTCTATCCCTTCTTCCACTTTTAGACTCAAGAAATGATTCCACTCTCTGAATCATATGTCTCCTAATCGGATTTTGTGGCTGTAATCTTTCTTCATTTCTATGGGATTCTACTCCGGATTGTTCTCATAGAGTGAAAATTAGGAAAGGATATCCCAAACCTCCAGCTGTAGAACTACCAACAATACTCTAAGCATGCTGAACTATAAGTGCACCAATATCTATTGCCTTCATGTTCTGAATGCAATAGTTTAGTACAACTCTGTCTTTTGTAACATCACCTAAATGATTTGTTGATAACAGTCTGACAGAAATGAAGTCGTGCCATAATTTTGACTAAATAGTCAACATGGAAGCATGGAAATTAATTATCTTGTTATTCTTATTCTTCCACTCTCCTTTTCCATCAGTAAAAAATGCAAGCACTTCCTTCAATGATGAATCAGTCATCACGAATGCAACGTATTCATCATAAAATACGTTCCTTAGCCCATAAAGAATTGATCCTTTTAGAAGTAAATTCGACCTGCTAACCTCTCACCAAGATGTGATCTTCAGCAGTGAACATCAGGTTTGCATAAAACTCCCGAACCATCGAGAAAATTGCTACGACAGTGAAGTAGCAGAATCTTTCCCAGTTCCTAGTAAGAATCAGTCTCTCGATCTCGCCACCCAGGTTTGCAAACGCCCATTCTTGGATCATTCTTCTAGTCTCCATTTGAGTATTATAACTATGTTGAGCTTTAAAACTAACAAATCTTCATTCATCAAAGTCCTCGGTCGGCCTTTCTCTTTTAAATCAGGGAGCCATTAAAAATTCTACAAAAATTTAAATAAAGTCCAAAAATATTACTAAATAAAAAATCTAACTTCTCAAGCAAGATAATTTG